AAAAAGTGTAAAGTTTATACTTTTTTTGTACATAAATTTAGAAAGTATAATAATAGTAACTAGTTTTTTTATTTTAATAAAAATCATACAATGTAAGGTAATCCTTGTTAAAATAAAAAAAAACTTTAATTAATATCGTTCGAGCAATAGTTTTTATTTATCAATTTAGACTTAACATATTTCACAACTAATTGTATCTGCATCAAGCGACGGCAGAAGTGAAAAAATACAGTTTTTCTCCAAACTGTATTTTTAAAACGGGCGTTCACAATAACTCAAAAAATTAGGAATATAATCCGTTACAAATTTTAACACTCAGCTATAACTTTGAATGTTTGCTGAAGAGATAAATAAACTCTAGCTTTCGCGTAGCCCCTTAAAAAAACGTCTAAAGGTGTCAAATCGCATGTTAACCAGTTGATATCGCTACTCTTCCAATAAAGCAATATTCGCTACTGTCAATACGGCATGTGTCACCATCTCTTTGAAACCGCATACTCTCCAAGTCGTATTAATCAATAGCAGACAAAAAATCGGTTATCATATGACCACATCGCTCAGAATTTACTTTGACTGTAGTTCCATCGTCATTTTCACACCTTCGGACCAAAGATCGCAACAAACAGTGACTTTTCCGTCCATGCCAGACTTTCAACTGAAGAGTATAAAATTGGTTAATAACTTAGTTAGACAGATGTCGAATTTCAGTTCCATACTTTTGTTCTTTGGCACAGCTAGTTTTTTCCCAACAACAATCCATATTTCAATTCAAATTTAGTTATAGCACCGAAATAAATATTTTCGTCAGATTTTACGAAAATGATGCACCAAACTTTATCCGTTTTAGACAAGATTTTGTGCCGCTTACCGACTTGAGTCTAGAATAATGTGTATTAAGTTTTGTTGGAATCGGCTCAGGTGCGTTGCGAAAGCAAGTGCGATGCGAAAGCTAAATGCGTTAACAGTACAATTTGGTACTCTGTATCGCTCACGCAAACGCATTCGCAAATTAAATCGAAAATACGGCAACATTGGCACCACAAAGTAAGCAATAACGAAGAATGACAAAAGGAAACGTCAAAAAGTTGTAAATAAAAACATATTTTTATGTTGTACGAGTTTTTTTTTTAACAAAAATTATTAACGAATTGAAAAAAGAATTTTAAGTGATCAATCAAATATACTCTCCCAAAGTAAACACGGTATGAAAATAGAAGTACGAATTATGTGAGAAACGTTTTAGAATATTTAATTCTAATAAATTTATGCAAAATTTTCGTCTCAATAAAGATGCGTTGATGTATCTGGTAAACGCTATAAAAAATGTCCTCGTCGTTCCAAATAGATCCCCTGCAATTCCAACTCCAATAAAAATGGCCGCTGCGTTGAAGTTGTTTGGACAAGGTGTTTATCAACACCAACCTGTAAATATGCACACATAGTTTCACATTTTATATAAAAAATATAAAACATTACTTTTTTCCAACCAGCGACATCTCTTACAGGAGGTCCATTTGTATTAAGGTCATCATCCAGTTTTGTCTACAAATTGTTGGCGCGTTGTTTCGTATTTGAACTCTGCAACTGTGCCTTTGGCAAACCCCTGCGTTGCGCCATAAAATCTACTAAAGTTGGAACTGACGATGCTGAGTCTGCAACACTGTACCTTTTTTGGCTTTCAACTAAAATAAATAACAATTTAGATATAAATAAAACCTTTAATTGCGCTTACTTACATGTTTTGCTTCACTTGCGTTTGCTATTTTGTTAACGCAAGATATTTGCGTTTAACGAAGGAGTTTGACATGCGTTTTCGTAATATAGATTGCGGTGATGCCACATTTGCGTAAAGTAGATGCGAAAGGAGATACGAAAACGAATTAGAGAGTACCAATTACGCGATACGACACAATTGTTCTTACGCATCGCAATACAAAGTAACCGCCCAGATTTAGATATCTTCGATTTAGATACCGTCTGTCTGTGTGACTGGATGGGTATATGTATATACAGGAAGCGAACGATAATTCTCGAAGTGAGTAACCGATTTTATCCAAACTTGACAATCGTAATATTTCTTCCAAACTTAAATTAAGTTCGAAGATATGGAATTTCGGTATATTTCTTCTGGTTTCTCCCATACAATATGGTAACATTATGCTGACAATTAGTTTCTTAACGCCATGCGAACGGACTAACCGATTTGAATCAAAATTTGCACAACGTAATATTTTAACCATGCCCTAAGATTGGATAATGTTATAAGATTGGACTTATCGGTCCACTCCTACTAGTTCATCCCCCAAAAAGGGTCAACATTTTTGACAATCGTAATATTTCTTCCAAACTTAAATTAAGTTCGAAGATATGGAATATCGGTACACTTCTTCTGGTTTCTCACAAAATGGTCAACATTATGCTGACAATTAGTTTCTTAAGACCATGCGAACGGACTATCTGAGTTGAATCAATATTTGCCCAACCTAATATTTTAACCATGCCTTTATAATGTTGTAAGATTGGACTTATCGGTCCACTCCTACTTGTCAATCCCCAAAAAAGGGTCAACATTTTTGAAAACTTGTAAATCTCATAAAAAGCTAACGAAATATCAAATTTCATCGAAATTGTGCACAAGATGGGATCTACGGTCCACTCCTTCTGGTACTTCCAAAACAATGTAATACTGCATACTTTATAAATATAATCTTGAAACTTCATGTTCAAATTAATATTCAACTAATTTTTAAATTTTATTTATTTCACAGGAAAGTATAGGATTATATCTTTCATATGACATCACTCATTTGAATACCAGCAATTCGAAAAAAGTTATAGCAAAAAGAAATTACGTATACAGCATCAGCGCCATCTATTGATGGGTATGATTCAAATCATGCAAATCTGTTTTTTTTTAAGTCCAAGCTTCCAAGCAATTTTTTTTGAAATAACTACAGAAGGTCAAAAGTTATAGTAAAAAGAAACGTGGTTTAAATTTTGGCCAATCGATTTTTGAATCTACTCATTCGGTAGATGGCGCTGACGACAAATGTTTGCCAGTTCTGTCAAATTTATAGAACATCATCGGTATTGTAGATTATTCATATCTTTTGAGTAACGCGTAACGATACCGAATTTTTATTAGTTTAGGTTTAAGTTTTTATTAGTTTAGGTCATACACCATGCGTCAATATTAAAGATTGTTTTGCAAAAAAATTGAGTTTTCTGGGATTCTTCATAATTCTGGAACGTGTAACGATACAGAGAGAGATTAAACGTATATTTTTAGCTCATAATTTCTTCTATGAAAACGGGTTGAATGAGGTTTGACCGGAGTTGTCACTGTAAAAGAAAAGTGAACAAAGCATTCTTCAAACCCCATCTATTGATGGAGATGATTCAAATCAGGCACATCAGTTTTTTCGAGTCCAATTTTCAAAGAAGAGACAAATATTGTCGTATTAAATGTGACCTAGAAATAAAATGGTGCGATCACCTTTACTATTTTCAAATATATTTTCCATGGGTTCATTATTATTGTCCGATTTTCAACGATCCACATAAGATATAAAGTCTATCCGATCGACAGGATATTGTACACAGGTGCTTGTGTACATTCGAGACTATCAATTGAATGCCCGTAAGATGAATTTACGATACGCCGCAAAATATTGGTCCTAGACCCATCTTTAAGTATACCGATCGTCATATCTCGACTAGCTGAGTCGATCTAGACATGTGTGAATATTATAAAATATCTCGAAATATTGCCCAAGCTCTGAATATAGAACCATAGAAAGTTAGATTTTCGTCGAATGTGTAGAATATCTTATGGTCGGCCCCGTCCGACTATACTGCTCCGCTCACTGGTTTATTTATAGCCTTCTTTTTTTTCATTTTGATATTTGATTGTAACCATTTTGAATTTCATAAAATTGTACCAATATCATCATGATCCCCAAAATAAATGACAAGCACTGTAAATTAAAAAAAAGTTTCTTGTATTAAATAATGGTACGATCATATTAGTTTACACAAACCTGAAAAACAGCCCTTCGTGAAATTGCAAAAAATCCCATCGCATTGAGTATTGGCTTTTCGTGTATATTCAACCACAGAAATTTATTAATCTAAAATAAGGAAGTTCATTTAATATTATTTGAAAAAATTTTATTATGGACATACCATTTTACGGAATTTGTAATTAAAATTTGGTGTTCGTATGAGAATTTTTGATGTCTCCCGGACCTAAATATTTGCGTGGAAGAGATAAAGGAGGAAATATTGAGAAATTTTGTTTTTATTAAAACTTATCAGGAATAAAGGTAGAGATTAAAATTGGTACAAAAATCGGGTTTATTATTTGAAAATCTGGTTTAAAAAGCGATACGGATCTTTCTTCCGCGAATAAATGTTATTAACGGCCTAACTAACAGTGTCTGAGGATAGGGTTACAGAGCAAAGGGCAATGAAAACACGAGAATATGAAGGACGACTCAGAAGGACTCAAGATAGAAGTAGGATATGTTTTGCAAAAATATTCCTCATTCGATTTGACTGCTGATATGTCATCTTCAAAAACCTTCAGAAGTTCAGCCCAACTTTTTATACCCTCCAACAACTGGCGCGCATTCAAAATCCCTCAAACGGTCGGAAACATTATAGGGGGACGATATTATTGCATTATGTGGTAGTTCATGCCCTGAACAAATAATGTTTCAACTTATACATAACATAACATACCGATAATTAAACTGGGCATTTTTATGAAGGTCGTTTTAAGAGATCAACCCTTATTGAATAATTTTTAATAGCTTTTTTCCAGAAAGCGCTGGTTTAATATGGGAGTAATGTCAAAACATGAACCGACATTCTGCATATTTGAATGCCGGCCTTCAAGAACCCTATTTACAAAATCATAGCCACATCCAGCCACATCGGTGGCGTCTAAAGACTTCGAAATACAAAAAAGGTGTAACTCTTTTGTACGGGAACTATACCTAAGATTTGGCATCCATGAGAACCTAAAAATTTAAATAAGAGCCAATTACATTGAAAAACTTACCCAAAATACGGAATAATGGATGGTACCCTGAAACTTGGATCAATTCTGATACGACTAGTGATTACCAGCTCATTAGGTTGTAAACATGTCCAGTGACATCAAAATACCGAATATTAGAAGGTACTGGTACTAGGAGGGATATCCTAAGAAGCAGACCAATAATCATGATTTTATGTAGAAAGATTTTCAACTCAGTAAGAAATCAAAATACCACATTACAGTTAATTAGCTCCACAAAAGCTTCAAAATACAAAGAGGACGCCGTTATATGGGGACTACCCTAAAAAGTGGACCGACATATTCCCATTTTCAACACCAACCATTATCATAGGAGTAATAGTAATGCATTTGGAAGATTCAAAAGTTTTATGTTAAATATTGCAAGTTCTATCGTGATTTCAGCAGACAGGCGGTCATTACTAAGTCGGGGGTCTCAGGTAAATATTCCGAGGCATTGCAAAAGAAATACAAATTTAATATACCCTCCACCTTTTTATTTGTCCTTCTGGGTTCTTAAAATACTCGCCAATATGACCCCGAGGTCGATTTTGTGTTACAGTGTAATAAAAAAAATGTTTTCCAATATTTACCTCATTATTATATCCATCACAGCTATACATTGCTAGAAAAATGGTAACCGTCGGCGAAGACCAGATATACGAATTAATGGCAATCAATATATAATACCAGAATGGATATCCATCCAATTCTTCGGAGTACCGAGAAATTAAATAAAATGGACCGGTCGCTCCAGTTGCGAGAATAAATCCAATTATCAACAACATTAGGAAACCATAATTGCGATTAATTTTATCCACCGTTATGAATACCAAACGATTGCGTTTCATTAAAATGCGTTGCATATTCGTAAAATCCTTTGATGCCGATGCACTTAATTCCTGATTTAATTGACGCATTGAAGTTTCGGCAATTTTGACAACACTAAAATGCATAAGCACCACAATACCAATTATCCATGTCGTTGTGATGAACATGCTCATATAGGAAATTATTAAAAACCATTGCATTTTACTTCGTAGAAATATATAGAAATACAAAATTGTACAGAGGATACAATTTGTAAAATATATTCTATAATATTTACGATATAACCGTTGGGATGACACTATTTCCGATTCACTTTGGTGATATAGTTTTAACATCAGTTTCAGAAATTCGACATTTTTTCTTCGCTTGCCATAGAAATGCCAATAGATAATTAGCAGTAATACACCGCTGAGTTCGAAATGTACCACAAAATATTGTTCACCAATTGAGTTGTAGCGGGGCATATGGAAATCATCGGCATAAATGATACCAAATATCAGCATGGCACAGGTCAGCACATGTACACAAATTAGAATATACCAGGCCCGATTGTTGTGACATTTTCGAATGCTTAGATTCCATTGGTGGTCTTCACACCGATAGTCACAACAAAATAGACCAAAGAAATTTATCGACTTTATATGAATGTAAAGGTCACACACCGTTGACATATTTTGGGGTACTAAATTTCAGTGGATATTTAAGTGTTAGATATTAAATATTTCATAGTTTTCAATATGAAGATGTTGACACTAGATATTGAGTAATTAAATAATTAATTAAGAAGCTATTATAGTTGTTGTTTATTTGTTGACAAGGCATGTTTCAATATTGACCAAGTCCAAATACTTATAAAGAACGAAGGACAATGAACAGTTTTTGTTCGGAAAACTAAATTGAAATTCAGTACGTTGTGCAAAATTTTATCTTAATCGGTCAAATATTATGACTATCCTGGAATCGGACAAACCTATATATGGGAGCTATATATTAATCTGATTTTCTCCAATTTCAATCGGGTTTGTCTTTAGGCCAAATAAGTGGTCTATGCCAATTCAGATCATAAATGATACTTGTACTTGGTTTATAATTTACATTTAACGGACGGACGAAGGGACATGCATAAATCAACTCAGAAAGTTATATTCTTAAAAGGGTCCTTGGGTCTATCACGTTTTCTTTTGCATACTTCAAACATGTGCAACAAAACCGCAGAGTGATTCTCTAACAAATAAATAGAAATTAAAACCAGTAAGGAAAGTAGTAAAGTCGGACGGGGCCGACTATATGATACCCTTCACCACTTTGGGTATATTCAACAGATGAATTCTAACGGACGTCGCATTATTGAAGGACCAGTAAAATGAAGTTGGATCCATAAACATGTCATTCTGCAACCTACACTAAATTTTTCATTTGGCATTTGACAAAATTACGTAAATTAAATTAAAGCAATCGGACACCCGTTGATTATATGGATAAATATCTGATAAAAATTAGGAGTTAGGTGCAACTATATCTAAAACTGAGCCGATTTCAACCAGACTTGCCAGAGATTAATTTATATTAACTACAGTTCATTGTACAGAATTGTGTGTCAATCGGACAAACCTTGGGTCTTTAGTGCACAATTTACATAAAATCGGGAGAAAGAATATATAGGAGCTATATCAAAATCTGAACCGATTTCCAACTTAGAAAACATCACTCTAGACGTAATTCAGCACGCCATGCCCAATATTGTGCAAATCGAAAGATATATAGGGATATTGGTGCACCATTTATCATAAAATCGATGCAGGTTCGGACAAAAAATATATATAAGCTATATATAAATCTGAACCGATTTTCAGGAAACTTAACACACATCATTCTTGACCTAATTTATTACGCTGTGCCAAATTTTGTGCAAATCGAAGGATATATAGGGACCTTGGTGCACCATTTACCTTAAATCGGACGATAATATGTATGGAAGCTATATCTGAATCTGAACTGATTTTCCGGAAACTTAACATACACAATTCTAGACCTAATTCATTACGCTGTGCCAAATTTCGTGCAAATCGAAAGATATATAGAGACTTTTGTGCACAATATACCATAAAATCGATGCAGAGTGGGACGATATTACATATGGGAGCTATATCTAAATCTGAACCAATTTTCAGGAAACTTAACAAACATAATTCTAGATCTAATTCATAATGCTGTGCCAAATTTCGTGCAAATCGAAAGATATATAGGGACTTTGGTACACCATTTACCTTAAATCGGACGAAAATATATATGGGAGCTATATCTAAATCTGGACCGATTTTCAGGAAACTTAACACACATCATTCTAGATCTAATTCATTATGCTGTGCCAAAATTCGTACAAATCGAAAGATATATAGGGACTTTGGTACACCATTTACCTTAAATCGGACGAAAATATATATGGGAGCTATATCTAAATTTGTACCGATTTTTTCCAATTTCAATAGGGTGGGCCAAATAAATGACCAGTGCCAAATTTCAGCCAATTCGGATCAAAAATGCGGCCTGTACTTTGTTTACAATTTAACATGGACAGACAGACGGACGGACGGACGGACGACGGACGGACATGCATAAATCGACTCAGAAAGTGATTCTATGCATATTCTCCAAGGGGAACCATGTGTCTATCTCGTTTCCTTTTGCCTGCTACAAACATATGCACAAAGACATAATACCCTGTACCACAGTGTGGTGAAGGGTATAAAAATAAAATAAATATTTAAAAAAATCCAAGCTTTCCGTTTCAGAAAAATATTTCAAATCAGAGCAGTATAGTCAGACGGGGCCGACCATATCATACCCTACACAACATGCACGAAATTCTAACTTTCTGTGGTTATATATTCTGAGCATGGAAAATATTTCGCTATATTTGCACCCTCTTGACCGACTAGAAGTCAATAAATATTTCTAATATTCAGTACAGCCCTTCTATTTACTTGGCCAGATTCCCTTCACCGAGAGGCTGTGTTGTGATGTTCGGCTTATAATGGTGGTCTATAGATACACTCGAAAAACACAAAAAATTATGTTTTCGGTCCAGTTCATACCAAATTATTATTATCTGATCATCACCGAAAATTATGGGCGTTGTCCTTGACCATACCTGGATCCTCATGAAAAAATTTCAAAATATATTTCCGCCCTCTAGTGTGATAATGGGTTACTAATTAATATGTGAGTACGTAAGCCCCTTTAAATATTTAAGTGTAACTTCCACATCCGAGTACATACGACAATATAATTGGAATCAATTTAAATCTCAACCCCTCCTCCTTGATATATTATCAACTTCTCTGGTCTATGTCCTGCAGGGTTAAATTTATACGTTATAGAATACAAATTTTGTCATTTTTCACACAAAAGTCAGGGTCTATTTGACCCGCTAAAAATTGGAAATTCATTATCAAAACAGGCATGCTTATTCTTTGGCCCAATCCCCTTCTCCATGTAGAAATTCGCGATGTTTGGACCATAATTGCGGCCTCTAGAGCGTCCAGAAAATCAGACAAAAATTAAGTATTTGGTCCATTTCATCCCCTAAATATTAACCGATCTTCACCAAAAACAATAGGGGTCTTAATTGGGCCGAAACCATCCTACATGCAAAATTTCGTGAAGATAGGTCCATAACTGTAGCCTGTATTGTGTTTACAAATTATAATGGACAGACGGGCGGACGGACACACATGTCTAGGTCGACTCAGCTAGTCGACATATGACGATCGGTATACTTAAAGGTGGGTCTAGGTTCCAGTTCCCAAAGTAAACATTTTTCTGATTCTAGTTTCCCTAATCCACATCTAACACACGACCTTACAAATTACACAAATCCTTTTACAAGTATAGAGCTACACATACATGTACATATATTCGCAATAGAAGAACAAAAAACACTTGGCATGTGCCGCTGAATAAACAAAAACAAAATGTCCACTTGAAATGCAATATTACAAAGTGGCAAGAAATAAAATATTACAAGAAATAGCAACTAAGAGATGTTGCTTGTCACTCACCACGTTGAGATTGTTTGTAATAAAAACCAAAATAAAAGTTACTTACATTTACTTAATGTCTGTTAATACAAAGTAATCGTTATAAGAAAATTATACAAAATGTCCACACGAAATGCAAACAACCCACCCACAGTCCATTTGTTTTTCTTAATTTTCATACGTCCGTGTGCAATGACGGGCGGATGATTGGATGGATGGATGGTTTGACATTAGCTTACAGATAATCTTGAAACTAATTAAACAAGACACACATTTCACATGTTAAAATTTGATAAATTTATGACAGAAGTAACTCAGAAATATATGAAGTTTGCTAAAATTTCGAGACAAGTTGCAATCATGATTTTTTTGTAGTTTATTTATGAAAATAAAATTGCTGATTTTTTTTATTATTCGAATAAGCAATCGATTAGATTACATATATATATTTATTTTTCAATTTATAATATAATCAATAATTATTTATTATATTTAGCAAGTGTATTTATATCTGAAGTGTTTTGATTTATTATATTGAATTTTTTTTAGCCAATCAATATTTTTATTAGATATACATCTCGATGACAATATTTTTCGAGAGCCGAAGTGTGCCATCGTTGCAAGGGAAATTTAAAATTTTGACAAACGACATATTGTTTTTTTGGCACACTCTTTCTATTCATATCTCAAGAGCCTTAAGCCCCACAAATGTTTTGACATATCGCTCATCTGCAGCAAGACCTGCATAAATCCAAACCAATAAGGAAAGTTCAAAAGTCGGACGGGGCCGACTATATGATACCCTTCACCACTATGGGTACATGCAAGACATGTTAATATCTACAATATGCTGTAGACATTGAAATTTCGCATACATCAGTCGGCACCTAATTCAGTACTCTGTGCAAAATTTTGCTTCAATCGGACCAATATTGGGAGTTTGGTGCACAATATACTGTAAATCGGACGAAACTATATATGGGAGTTATATCTAAATCTGAACAGATTTCAACAAAACTTCGCATTCATTAATCTTGACCTAATTTAGTACGCTGTGCAAAATTTTGTCTCAATCGGATAAATATTGGCACTATGTTGCTCGATTTACATAAAATCGGACGAAACTA